TGTAATCACGATAACAGGTCTTATGGTAATGTGCTACCAATTCGCACGAGGTGACGGCTAAAATCTTATGATCTACCTTCATAGTGGCCACTTGATGAACTTTATTGTCTGCACGAAGTTCACATGCTTGGATAAGAGGCTCTTTTGTCCGGCAACGCTTGACATATTTGTTGCTTTTGTCATAAAAAATGCACAACGTCTGATAAACATGTGATTTGGTTGTAAGTTGTTCCCTTGGTGACCTCCTCTGGTCAGTACTACAACCTGCACCCGCAAAACCATCATCGCTCTCCACTTTGGACAGAGCAGCGCAAAGACTGTTTATGTGTAAATGTACTCCTACAATTTCTATGGTAATATTTGTCTGGAACAGATGTCTCTGATGATGAAACTAGCAGTATGGGCTAAAAGGCACGAGATTTTGCCACATTGAGCAGGGTCACCCACGAAGACAGATCTTTGGGGCACAGAGGATCTGCAACGTTGTCTTCTTCCAAACATATAATACAAGTCTGTGTACCTTTGGATTGGGAATGACATGTTCGAGGTTTTTTCGAGGGTACATGGCATTCTGGCCTGTATTCTTCATCGTAACATTCCATTTGCGACATTTTGAGAAAATATTCCAGAATGTCAGAAAGAAATAATAATTGTCAAGCTGGAAGAAGATAAGAAGATTGCCTCAAGAACACAGCAAAAACTGGGCTTTATAGTTTATGCAAAATGGATTGCATGGTAATGCAGGAATGACAGTTCAAACATGAAAAATGTATCAAGCAACAATAGAATAGCTGGAGTCTAAATGGAGACCATGTAATAGCTGATCCTGCACATGCAGGCCTAATCACTCCATCAGCAGTCCAGACCGTTTACACAACAGGGTGGTGTCATGGGCCTAGCATGTACACTACAGTGGCATGGTAAAAGGCTCGCGGCCCCAGTCTGCACTAAAGAGTACGGGTTTACAGGCAGACACAAATTCCAGATTGAAGATATAAATCACACTCACCAGAGACTCACAACCAGTGCAAGGTGGGCAAGGTACAATTCATGAAGGCTACAAGCCAAGTTACTTGGGGGGGGGGAGAAACATGAGTAGTAACTGACAAGTTTCCGAATTTTGTGTTTACAGCAACCTCTCAAGCAAGTGAAGTCACACAGCTGGCAAGGCAATACTCAACTTCAAGTCATGGTCATTTAACTGCTTGTATCCTAATTTCTTGAACTGAAAGCAAAGCAGATTAAATCAAGCCCTGAACACTTTTAAACACACAAACTGGCCTGTCAATCACTGTTAACCTGTCATTCTTTCATAAAAACTAATAATTACTGTGAATCTCCTCAACCTAAACATCGGCACAGCATGGATTGTCTTCCACGTGTTGAACTATGGCTGTTTCCCGTCAACTGAATAGAATTTCCTAACTGTATGTGAAATTGCTATGTAACATTTTGGTGAATTCCTTAAACAGCCATCTGTTGCATACGCGCAAGAGGCTCTCAAAGCTTTAAAATTTACCATTAAAATCTTTCCAAAACTAGTCATAAGCTACCAGTTTAGAAGGTCCATCATATTGTTTTGTCCTTTTCATATTTTTTTCATCATAAAACTCATATGAGAATTAGTCTCTCCAGATAGTACCAACAAATTGGCTGGCCCATGGCCTATTAAATATGAGGATGTTGATTTGATGTCACCATCCTTCTTTTTGCAGTAAGGCATTCCAGTGCTTTCTACCGAGCCCTCTTCCTATCATGGAAGTGTTTGCAATGTTTATTGTACTTAGCTGCATGCTGTATCAATGCTAGAGCTCTGGAAGTACCATACTTAATACTATACAACACCACTCGCACCATGCTTCTTCGAGATTGTAAAACTTGCAAAAGCAGTCACCCACCACATGCTCATCTTCCATTTTAGCCAGTAATAATTTGTCACATCATGATCAATTTCCCTTGCTTTTTTTAACGATTTATCAATCTCTTTCAGATTGGCTGCTCCACACCCGGCTAACTTCTTTCCTTCCACCATGATTTCGATTTTCCCCCAACTGCATGCGGACATGTATATGTATACACACACAGACAACTCTCAGTAATATCAGCTTGGGTAAGACGAGACTCCGGTATAGACAAGCATATTTGCCAGTCCCGACTGAATTGTTCCCATTCTTATGAGGGAAGAAATGTGTAATATGAGCTCGGACGTTAAAAGATTTTTGTTAAGACAAGCATTTTTTGTGCGCTGACTGAGTGCGGGGAAATCATGACTAAACTGTGGTTTTCAGTCCAAAAATGTTTAAGAAAATAACAACCACAAGTTTTGAAAAAAGTGTATCCCTTGCTAATAATTTTTCAAACCTACACACCCTTCCAAAGTAAAATCCGATATTCGCCCTCTGCTGTCCACACCACCAATAGCTGGTTTCCTCACATTTTTATGTGCAACAAGTACAGCTCTGGTGTTGGTTACCAACTAAAATGTTAATGTACGTAAGTCTTTATTCATTAAACTGTATCTCATTTTCATAGACCAACTTTTTAAAATCAAATTCATGTAACAAAACGATAACTCCTACGTGTATGTGCCTTTAAACAAAAGTTGTGCACACTTGTAGTTGTACACATGTACACTTTACGTACGGTCAAATCAGTGATAAATACGTTGAGCAGGACGGCAGCTTTCGCCTCAGACGAGGTCTGGATAATACAAGCTAATTTAGTAAGTCCCAAGGCCCTCATATTAACGAGACTTGACAGTACTTGAACCGATTTCCTAAAAGCCAGTTTGCATATGGCCATGTAGCAGCACTGCCATGAATTTACATCTCTAGAAACAAGGACCTTTTGGGAGTAATGTGCCTGCATACATGTACGTATGATAATTACAAGAATGATTGGTCATGAGAGAGGAACTAACCAATAACAGGTAGGAGTCTGATTTTTACGGGAGTCAAGTTTTCATTTGACACTGGGCATTCACACGATTGCGAAGAGGCTTTAAGGCGAAGCGCAAGCAACTGCACTAGTCACTGATTCCCTCCTTTGGCTACGTAAAGAGAATTTAAGTTTGTGGGAATCCATGAAATTTGTTCCTCGTTTCCTACACACATTGTACATTTCAAAGGTATTGCTTATACTGTCATGTGAATCAAATTGTTTCAACGTACAAATGTCACTGGGAATTAGGGAAATTTAGAGCGCCGTATAATCAACCAACATTTACCCCCTTACAACTTACCCCGCCCCCAAATTTTATTCCAATTTTACTCTGAACTTTTTCAAAAGACCACAAATTTGAAGGGGAAAAATGGAATTACGGTTAAACCAGAAAGATTCCCATGCCTGCATATTAACACCTTCAACCTCCACCAGCCGTCCACATGAAAATGTTTGTTGACTGCTGCACATAATTTAAAAGGGGCATTCCCATTTGCCAAGCATTGTACAAGTGCATGCATATTTAATACATAACTTTCAGGTGTCTGTTTGAACAGGAAAATTTTACAGATATATATCCTCAACACCCCCGTTCCGAAGAACACTTCGGAACACGTTCCTGCCCGTTCGCTTGCATGAGTGATTCAGAGAGTATTATTATGTTAATTGGCCGTTCCTGTGCATGTGAGAACGATGCAAAGAATATGCATACAAGCTGTTCTTGAGTCTTGGCTAAATAAGTGTCAACAGTGTTTGGTCTGATAAGATTTTTTTTCCTCTCTCTTATAAACGCTCATGCTGTCCCTTTGATGTACCGACTTCCCACATTTTATACATTCTTAAACGATCCTGGTCAAGGTTTTCATTTAAAAATGTCGAGGAGGAAAGAAATATATTTTGACAGGTGGGGTGCTTGGAATAAAAAAAAAATGTGAACGGGTACAGGGAAAAAAACTGTGTGTGGTCTTGGTTTGGATAGAAAAAACGCCAAGGAGAAAAGAATTTATATATTTGATGGGTTGGGATAGATGCTCAGAATAAAAGTGCAGAGGTGCCAGGAAAAAAAAAACTGCGAGTGGTCAAGGTTTTGATAGAAAAGAAATGCCGCAAAGGGAAGAATTAATATTCTTGGCAGGTTGGGTGCTCTGACTATAAAATGCAGAGGTGCTGGGAAAAATTTTAAAACCACACATGGTCTAGGTTTGGATAGAAAGTAAATGACAAGGAGGAAAGAATGAATATATTATGATGGGTTGGGATTGATACTCCCACAAAAAAAATACAGTGGTGCAGGGGAAAAAAATGAAAACCACAAGTGGTCGAGTTGTGGATAAAAAATAAATACAGAGGAGGAATGAATTAATATTATTGACGGATTGATTGCTTGGAATAAAAATGCAGTGGTGCCTGGAAAAAGTAAAAACCACAAGTGGTCGAGGTGTGGATAGAAAATAAATGCCGATGAGGAAAGAATGAATATATTTTCATGGGTTGGAATGGATGCTCTGAAAAAAATACGCCGTTGTGCCCGGACAAAATAAAAACGAATGGTCAAGGTGTGGATAGAAAAGAAATACCGAGGTGGGAAAAAAAATTAATATTATTGGCGGGTTGGGTGCTCGGAATAAAAAATGAAGTGGTGCCGGGAAAAAATTAAAACACCAAACCTGGTCTAGGTTTGGATAGAAAATCAATACCGGGGAGGAAAGAATTAATATTTTTGGTGGGTTTGGTCTTACGAATAAAAAAAGAGCTGTGGTACAGAAAAAAATAAAAACCTTTGAGAAATGCCGAGGGTTGGGTGCTCCGAATAAAATAATTGGGCAGTTGTGCAAGTGAAGAATGAGAGGAGGAGCTTGAACAAAAGAATGCATTCCTGGCCTTGGCACGCGTGTGAACGGTCTCTGTATTTTTGATCTCGTCCCTAAGTAGACTACAAGTATGAAATAAGGTGGACATTTGACTAAATCTTAAAATGAAATTAACCTCATTCATGTTGCAACTGTACATGAGCCTGCAAAACAGACCCCACTTTTTCAAAGTAACACTAACTTGCCCACCTTGCTGCAAACATGCATTTCTTGCTGCGGTACAGTCTATGATTGATGATCTGGTAGTGATTACCAATCCCTCTCTCAAGGGCTCGATGGAACTGATCCTGAGAGATGCCACCCTTTTCTCTCCAAACTGCCAAATCTTTCTCCAAAACACTGAAATGAAAAATATTGAACCTTTGCATAAAGCATTTCATCTATATGTACATGAGTGCAAAACAAATACAGTATTGTTTTCACCAAACTTGATGGATAATGAAACCTAACCCCCAAGGGTGTATGTAAAATTGTATGGAAATTGGAGGATTTGGGATTGTTAGGGTTAAAGTTCCCTTCCATGACAATTGTGTAAAGTTAAGTCAAGACGATGACATTTACTTTTTATTAATTCTTTTGTATGTCTTCATTATCAAGATACATGAACATGAGTTGGCATCAACACAGTTTTTCCATCATACTGAAAAAAGGAAGGCATTTTCAAATTTTATTTTATAAAGGCTTTGGTAAGTCCTATGGATTGAGACTGTTTTACAAATTTTGGGGGATGTTGTTATACCACAAAAAAAAAAACCAATTTGGGTGGTATAACAAAATAATATATATAATATAATATATAGGAAAAAGCCCTAAACTGGGTTTGCCTTTAACTTTCCTTCTCACTTGCCAGCTGGACCAGCAGTGATGGCTTTTTACTAGTCCGCCAGCATTTTTCACCAGTCCGTGTCTGCCCCCAAATTTCAACGTTCTTTCTTGGCACTAGTGTTTTCTGCTTCAACATTATGCATAACAGTGTGCACTTAATTGTTGATGAACAATCATATATGGCCATGGGAATTATGAATTTCCAGAATATTCATGGGTATAACTCTACTCAAGCAAATTAAACACACAAAGTGATTACATGCTGAAAATGGTTTATTTTATTCACAATCCAAGAGACAGAAAAAAAAAATATCATCTATGAACAGTTTATGTACATGTACTCTACATGTGTGTTTTACGCAGTATGCACATGTACATACACATGTACATGTACGCCAAGCGAAATCTACAGTACATGCTCATTCTCGACTGCATCCAGTACCCGTAGGGTGCATTCCACCAAATGGTTGTATTTCTGCGTGTGAGCTCATTAATATTTTGTGATCCCACAGGGTTTTTACAATAAGACATGCCATGATCAGGAGGTATCATGGAACTATTTCTATAAATCTTGAATTTGGGATTGATAGTTTCCAGTTCAGGATGACCCCATAAAATTGAAACGAAAGTGATCTTCTGGCCACAATCTTGAATTTTCAGTGTAAAAACAGAGGCCAACCTCTTCCAAAGAGTCAACAGGCAGTGTTACAGGTACTTTGGTCTGATTTTGCTATGTTTTCTATGGTTGCATATTTGGTATGGTGCAATCTGTAGCACATGAACCAAACACGAAATCACAACCGTGACATTGCTGGTGTCACAACTACCAATGACCAATCAGAAAAAACAGTATTGTAACACTCCGACGGTCTACAGGGTTTCACGCCAAGAAAGCACACTGGGCTCAGAACTTCTGTTTACGAGGGCAAAACCTATTTATTTCGGCAACACAGTCAAAACTCGCCTGTCCGAAGACTCACAACAAAACCGAACTCTCGAGGCCGCCAAAAGAAGCCTCACTGCGCAGGTGCGGCGGGGCCCCCTGGTAGGTCCAGCAAGGGCGCCAGCCACACCACCATGGAGTCAGACTGGTGCCCCCACCCGACCAGCCAGCGCCACTTGGTGGGGTTCTGCATCGCCTCCTCAGCCTGCGAGGGGGACCAGGGAGCGGGACCGAAGGGCTGCGGCTCCCTCATCTCCGCGGGTGCTTTTGGTGCCTCCTCCGCCAACTGTGAGGCAGGTCCGTGTCAGGAAAATATTTGTTCATTGTATTTTGCACAGTATTTATTGTATGTTCTTCCGCAGTGGAAGGCTTATGGTAAATAAATCCCGCGCCAATTTGGCTTGACCATTAAAGTTTTAGAAATTTTTCCCGCCGAATGATTTTTTAGCCTGCGTAAAAATCCCCGATCTCCATAGGTTGCTCAGGATGCGACAGTGGTGCATCTGTAGTTACCACGGGCTTACATAACTTCCATCCAGCCACGGTTATTGTTAAACTAAATTTGCGTTTTGTTTGTATTTGCAACCGGCATTTGCGTTTCTGATTTACTTTGTTTATATTGGGTACAGTACATTTCGATGTTGGAAAGAGTGTCTGTGCATGAGAGAGAATGATTTCAATCTCCAAGGCGGTAACATCAAATGTGTGAGCTGAGAATTTGTGCAAGTGACCGATACGAGCTTCCTGAGGTCTCTGAATCAGCAGATGACGATCGGCCAAAGCAAATCCAGTCCTGGTACGATCGGATTGTCAGATCTAGCTATAACAGGCTTGTACGATCCTGCAGAATCCGGTCCCAGAACTCTGCAACTCTGCCAAGGCACCATTGAATACTGTTGCCTAAAATAACCATTTGTTGTTTTAACCACTTGCTGCCGGGTGCTTTTTTTAACCGTTACATGCACTGCCGGGCGGTTTTTTCATATTTTCGTTTTTAAAAAATCTTCAAAAATTCTTCTTTTTTTTTTCTGAATGCCTAAACCCCATAAAATGGGTGTCCCGTGGCGAGTCTAGCCCTCACAAGCAACCTCCATTGACCCTTCGGTTTTGCGGCCACGCCGCCAGCTCTGTGTAGAGCCCCCATTGTGTGCATTACATAAGGGCTCGTTTGTTCCAGGCCTTGGCCCAGTGCGTTGCTATGCTGCCGTGTTGCTATGTGGAGCGATTGACGGTCAAGACCTCAGCGTGTAATATGCGGTGAGTGCATGGGAAGCTGTGCACGTGCAATGGGCTTGAGTGAATGGGAAGCTGTGCATGTGCACTGGGCTTGAGTGAATGGGAAGCTGTGCACGTGCACTGGGCTTGAGTGAATGGGAAGCTGTGCACGTGCACTGGGCTTTGTCAACTGTTCAGAGAGTGCGGGCAATGATGGACAAATGAATTCATGCTGTAAAAAAAGGGGTCTAAAAGTGTGTCTTTTTCGTGGCGCTGCTGCGGGTAACTTTCGCTATTTTTTGAAGCTATTGGGGTTATTTTCTATTATATATTTTCCCATCTACCAAACTTATATCCCCCCCCAAACCACTCTCATATTTTATCTCCCAACTTGTTCATTTTCCCTCCCATAGTGTAAGATATTTCCCTTCCCAAAGTTTATTTCCCAAACCATTTCAAGTAAAATTTAGAAACCAATAAAATAAAGTACACATAAAAATACACAGACAAATATTTGGAGAGAACTTCTTTTTCTCTTATTTTCTTCTTGTCATTTCTCTTGT